ATGTATGAATTTAGAACATTGACCAACTGCTCCTTAGAAAATATTGACCCAAGACTGACAAAAGAGAGAAGGCCCTGAGAAGGAGAAAAGAGTCCCTAATTTACTTGCAGCTTCGTTTCACAGAGCAAACATTTCCAGATTTTGTTATATTCTATATACTGCTCAAAATCCTTTTTTTAATCCATTGTATCATCAGCCCTCCTTTTAGAAGTGCTCTCTTCATAAAAACACAGCAGATCTGGACTTCCAAATATATTTCAAGTTTTGACACTTCAATGTGAAAAACCTTTACCCTTGTCAAAGGATATCCTCTTATTATAAGAAATAAAATACAAGCCTCAGAAAATCATTACTTGGTACAATAGCACAATGCTACTTAAACCCTCAAAATCTAGATCATTCTTTTTTGATCTGTGCTATATTTATTTTGCTACAATTAACAAAACATTAGCCCCATGGTAACCACAGTGACAAAATACACCTCTTACTTTCATGCAGCTTATATGACTAAACCTACTTTCTCCTGTCCCTGCAAATCCTGCCATAATTCAGGTCCATTTTGGCTGCACCAGGAACATGCAAGCCACACACTGAGTACAAACCACCATTCACCACCCAGAGGTCCACAGCCCAAAGCTAGTCCACAGACATGGCAGAACTTGACACATCCCAAAGGGCCAAGCAAAGAGCTGGATATTGCCCAGGACATCAGGCTTCTGCAGAGTAGCTATCAGGAACAGAAACAGTAAAGATGAAAAGCACATTTAATTCTTTCTCGTATGTGTCCCCCCACATCATCCCTCTCTTTTTGGAGCGGGTGAGATTCCTGTAACCTGTTTCCCAGAAAACACAGGAAAACTTGGGAATGCTCTTCAGAAAGGTACAGTGTGGAACAAGGAGCAGTTGTCAGCCAAGAGGGGCCTCCCATGCATCATCACAAGGCATCATTTGTCACTTTAACTAAGCTTTCACTGTATTATTCCTGGTTTGACCTCTTCTTGAGAAGAGTATAAAAACAGGAGTTGGATGTAAAAGACGAGAATCTACAGTGGTACTGCCCCAACGCACACTCCAGAGCCCAACTGCCACTCAGTTGAGTCTAACGCACAATTGGAAGAGGAAGGGCACATACAACAAAAAAATAACCAGCCATACACACCACAAAGCCAAAAAACCCACCACTTCATTTAACTTCTTGAGCAGTGCAGCAGCTCTCTTTTAAGGTTAAGCAAACTGCCTTGTATGTAAAGAAAAATAAACGGAAAGCACACCACACAAACCAGGGATGTGCATAGAGGAGGAAAGTGAAGATCCCAGAGAGATTCTGAAAAAACAATTCTGTGCAGACTCCAGTCCTTCTGTTCCTGTTGCACAGGAGCTGAATTTAAGAGAAAACCACAGGGAGCTCTTAAGCACGTGTTTATCTTATAGAAGGCCCAAGTATCTGTGATACGTACCCACTGGTCTGTACAACTGGGGGACTCTGTATTTGATTCAAGAAGTTTATGGAAATATTTCATTTGCAGAGAACGAATGCACAAAAAGCAGGAACAAACAACTGCCTTGAGCCAGCCATAGTGTGCACAAATGCACACTTCCCAACAAAACCTGTCAACTCGGTTCATGAAAGCACTTCAGATCATTAGTAACTGCCACATGCTAATACCCTCTAGCAAACTTCCTTACAGTCCCTTAGATACACTTTCATCCAGACTTTAGGCTGATATACACTGCTGTCTGCAGAAAGGAAAAGAATAAAAGTTTAACTTTAATGTCAAAGGCCACTGGAAGAATCGTTTATAATGTCATCCACACACCACATTGGCAGTGAAACAGAGATTTAACGATACCTTGGATGAATCACAGACTGGTTTGGGTTGGAAGGGACCTTAAAGCTCATCCAGTTCCAACCCCCCTGCCACGGGTATGGACACCTTCCACTAGAGCAGGTTGCTCCAAGCCCTGTCCAACCTGGCCTTGAACACTGCCAGGGATGGGGCAGCCACAGCTTCTCTGGGCACCCTGTGCCAGTGCCTCAGCACCCTCACAGGGAAGAACTTCCTTATACCTAACCTAAATCTCCCCTCTTTCAGTTTAAAGCCATTCCCCCTTGTCAAAAGCCCCTCTCCAGGTTTCTTGTCAGCCTGTTTAGGCACTGGAAGCTCCTCTAAAGTCTCCCTGGAGCCCTCCCCAGGCTGAACAAGCCCAGCTGTCTCAGCCTGTCTCCATAGCAGAGATGCTCCAGCCCTCAGCATTTTTGTGTCCTTCTACTGGACTTGTTCCAACAGTTCCACGGCCTTTTTGTGTTGGAGGATACAATACTCTAGATGGGGTCTCATCAGAATGGAGTAGAAGGGGAGAATCATCTCCTTAGACCTGCTGATCATGCTGCTTGTGATGCAGCCCAAAATATGGTTGGTTTCTGGGGTGCAAGCACACACTGCCACATCATGTTGAGCTGCTAATCAACCAACACTCCCAAGTCTTTCTCCTCAGTGCTGCTCTCAGTGAGCTAATACAATGATGAGCTAACACAAGCCCTTTCTACCACCCAGGAACTCACACTTTAAGATTAAAACTCCAAATTTTCCAAGGTCCTTAGTACCAAAAGGTTAATTTGCAATTAATAAAGAAAATAAAAATTCAGTAAAATAATGGAAGAACAGGAATACTTGCTTAAATTCAGGACAAAGAGCCAAGCTGAAGGTGTTTATTTTGTGGAACTAAAATAACAATCAGAGCTCTAGGGCAACTGCAACAACAGGCACAAGGAGGATAAAGCAGCCCCATCTATCATACCTGCGCCTGTCAAACATGACATCTCGCACAGATCTGCATGAGCTGGGCCAGTATTAGCCCCAGGGAAGAGCTTCTGCCTGGCCTCCTGCCCACGACCACTACACAAACTAAGTGTCAAGATTCCTCAGAACTGCCTGTCAGCACCAGACTGGCTATGGCCCAAGCTGCAAACCGGAAAACTAAGGCTTCAGGCATATAAAAGAGAGTCACAGGGCCAGCTTCTTCCCTTCTAAGTGAGCACTGAAGAGTTGTTTGCCCTGGCCCATTTCATTCTTCAACTGAGATCCTGAGTGGAGCAGCTTCAAGTTACAACCCAGAACAGCGCAAGCCTGCAAGTGCCTTTTAAGGGGTGCATCTACCTCCCCCTTCAGTTTAGGTCTTAGTTCTTGGTCCACTTTTAAAAAGGCTTCAGTGTTTAAAATCAGGAACCAAGTCTCTTCAAGAGTCCAGAGCACTGGACCCTATTTTAAAAGTAAAGAAATCACTGAGATAACAGTTACCTGCATCAAAGGGAAGCAAAAACTATCATCATTTACATGACATCCTGAGAAACCAAGATAAAACCAGTGCATCAGTAATCTTAATAGGTTTGTTACATATTAGATAGCAAATACAATGATACGGTACGTTTCTCAATTTTGCAGTAGCAATTCAGGCAGAAAGACACACACAGGAAAGAGGGGAAAGGCCATCAGGAGGGGAATGACTTTATTGGTATAATGCAAGTGTGAAGCTAAACAAAAATGTAATGACCCTTTGAAACTGCCACAAAGACCCTTTCTGTCTCCACATAAGTGATCTGCCCAGCCACCATATTGCTATTTACAGACAGATGTTTAATACATGCTCTCATTTGGTTCAAGTAACTGGAAACAGGCAGCAAAACTTCATCATGTAAAACAAAGACATTTAACATTTGGTGCTCTATAATCCCTCTGAGCTGATCTCCTCTTCCCTGTGTCTTCCTAGGCTTTCATTCACCGCTTAATATCTGCCTCTGTGAAACACAGTATCTTTAATCCCCATGCTGACTGTGAGCCAAAATGAATTGAAGAAAATTTGTTTCTGTTAAACTTTGACAACTAAATTGTTCTTTTAATAAACAATGATGAAGCCAAGCACTATATTATTGTTAATATTTCCAGAAAAGGGAAGAGGCACATACTATTGATGAAATGGATGGGAAATGAAGAAATGTTACTACTAGCCCAGCAGTTGTCCTTCAGTTACTTCCTCTGATTATCTCCCACTTCTAAACATAGGAAACCTTTTTCCTCCTAGTACTGCAGGCCTTCAAATGGTGCCTTCTCCACTCATTGCTGTTATCAACAAGACAGCAAGATTATTTTCAAGATGAGCTTTTTTGCTTTTAGACAAGCATCAAAAGTCAGTTATTCTGTATTTGTTTTCAATTGCTTTTCACTTTTCCTCCAGCAGCTGGGGCCACAGCAGACAGTACTGCAATAGGATTATCTCACTCATCATTGCCATCTTTGACAATTGAGTAGGTAGCAAATTATGATCCATGAAGTAAATATCTTGAACAGATACAAATGCTACCTTCAAAAACTAGATAGACCTTATCAGCAGTAACAGCTGAGTCTCCTTCCAAGAAAATTCTCTTTGAACTATCAAAAGGATATATTACTTATAAAGCCTTCCTTGATCCTTCATTCTCTGAAACCAAGTAAGGCAATTTCAGGAGGCAAATCTAAATGCATGAAGGAAGAGAAGTGAATGGCTGTCAGGACTTCAAGGTTCAGTGGCATTCTACCACTGACTGCAAGCAATGGGGCATCTGTTTCTTACAGCAATACTCCACTTAAAAAGCTATTAAAATACGTGAGGCTAGATCAATTTTTGGACCTCTCTAAATAAAACTTCAAACAGAAGGGAAGATGATGCAGTGGAAGAAAAACACCAAATGGTCTCCTCATTCCACAGACATTCCACTCAGTGTTACACTATCACTCCTCTATCAAGACATGACAAAACTATTAAGTGAACTCTGAATGTATTTCAGCTCCATCCCTCAAGCAACTAAACAGCCAGAAACATAGAGGAGAATGAATCAGCAACCACAGCTTAGACACCCATCCTATGAAGTAGGATACATCTATTGCTTGAGGTTACTGGCAAAGCTTTTCCATGTTTGGTCAAATCTGGTACAAACCAGGGAGAACAGACTCTTCTTCACTAACCTGCTTGTTGATTCAGGTGACAGCGGGAACGTAGGAGAGTCTGATCTCTCATCAGGAGTATCTGGTTTGGGTACCTGGTCTTTTCCAAGGGCAAAACCTGTGTGATGCTCTTCCCTGTGTTCTAGCAAGAAAAAAGGCAGAGATTAGCAAGAATGACAAAGCAAAATGCTATTGTTTAAATTTCTGCAGCGTTGAGATAGATGTTAACAAAAAAAAAAAAAGTTTTATTATTTATTTAAATACCAACGGTCCATTCCCACCTACTTGCTTCCCAAAATTCTCAGTTGCAAAGGTTTAATTTCTTCTCCTGCACAGTAAAAAAAAACCCCAAATCAACAAAACCAAACCCTACCCTCTAAGAACCAGAGACTGAAACAGAAACATTTCATTGTTATGAGCTTCAAACACAAACAAGGAGAGAAATGAAGGGTAAGGATATTTGTCACATTTCCTAAGATCGAACTGCATTTCCGAAATTAGCAAACACTTAACAAGACAGCGCTGTTCGCTTCTTCTTGCTACCAGTTCACTTCATCCACTGCAGGAGGGAGCTTGTTCACTTTAAAGTTCCACATGTCAAGTCAATAGGCTTGTTTTCAATACGACAAACATTATGACTTATTTCCTTATGCACCTAAGACAGTGTCAATCTGGATTAATTGATGTTTCCATTTTTTAATAGGAAAAGTAATTTCTAAACAACGCAACAAGCAAATCCACTGTGCCAAGTGTTTTTACCTATAAAAACACGGACAGTTCTCTCAAGTACCTTCTACCACTCCAAGGTGAAAACAAACATAGACTAGGAATTATGGGATGTGAAGATAAACTATCCTTACACCACATACACAAGTGTTTTCAAACGAGTTATTTAACTAGAAAGTTAAATATGCACAGGCCATTAAAACCATACTCATATACATCTCATTAATAATCCTTATTATAGCCATCAAGTCACTTTGACTTTTCTGCCCCTCCAGAAATTACTTTGACAGAAATGGCCAAACAGAACTGCAATTAAGAGTGCAGAGGAGCTATACAATCTTTGAGTCCAGCCACAGCTTGCCCTTTCCTTTCCGCTGAAATGCATAATTAAATACCAGGAGCATATTTTCGTCTGTTGAAAACAACTGGCAAATTACAGCAAGTCAGTTGTCCACCTAATGAAACATCTCTGAAATTAACAGGTTAAAAATAGCACAGGCCCTGTGCAATAATGCAACCCAGAAGAGCACCATTTTGTATCACAAATATTTATCAAATCCTGATGGTGCTTCCCCTTAGGCAAAGCCAAGCCTTATGTTAAAAGTTATAAAGACTGGAAATGAAACACTTTAAGATGATGTAAATCAGGAACCGATGATTAAAACATCACCAAAACCAGAGCAAGATTTACAGAGAAGCTCAAGTTACATCAGCCAACACTACAGCAGAGGGTGATGAAAGATATGCAGGTGCTAAAAAGAAGCACAAAACAAAACAAGTATGCTTTAATTCTGTGTAATTCCACTGCTTCCATGAGAACCCAAATCAAGTGGGGAAGGAATGCATACAAAGCCTTTGCTCTTCTTAGCAGTTATGTTTCAAATGGCAAGTCATCACACCACTGCTGGGTTTCTTCCTTTCATGTATTTTTAATTTCCCATTTGATAAAAAGGCAACTGTTGTTAATAAGGAGTGCAGGGGGAACAAGCTTTAGGCAGCTGTTCCTTTACCCATAAGTCTTCTTTTATTTTGTTTTGTTTTGTTTAAATGGTTTACAAACAGTCAAACAGATGCAGATATTTGGGATAAAACTAAAACCTGAAACTTCAAAGACTATTGAAAGCTCAGTGCATAAAAAAACAATGACAGTTTTGCAGGTTTGTCAGAACCAGAAGAGGTGGGATCACATACGTAAGTCAACAAAGTACAGAATGATACATCTGATATAAAGGTTTTTTCTATCTGAACACTCTTTTGGAAAAACTATATGGCTTTAATTCAGCTTCTCAAAGTCTGTGGTTCAGCACACGAAGAAAAAGCTTACACAGAAGACACAAATCCAGGAATTCTTAGCAGCCAATCACTCCACAGAGCATAGCTAGAAATCATTATCTAATAATATATTGCTCCTGTCTTTGCTACAGAAGAGGAATGTCATTGTAAATTATGTTAAACGAGATAAACCTTATCCTTGAGATTCTTTATTTTACCCTTCACATGGAAAGGATTATGTGTCACATCAAGGTCTGCATGAAAGGATAAGGATAAAATTCATACTATCACATTGGTGTTTTCACCTCTTTTTATTCCTGAGGGCTCTGCTAGAGGAGACAGTGAAGGGACAGCCAAAGATTAGTTCAGCTCAACTCAGGAGAGCAGGGATTTGTGAGAGCTGATGCAAACTAAATACCAGATTTTCCCGAGGATACAGACAACAGTGCATCCAATTCTAGTCAATAGAATTCTCTCCAAAATCCAGTATCTTGAATAGATTAAAATTTACACATTAGGTTGAGAAATGCTCTTCTAAATCACACATCCAAAGATATACGTACACTGCCAAAGCAATCAGTATCATAAAACAAACAAGACTGAAGATGCCTATAGGGAACAAGTTAATAGCACAAGGGGGGATATTTCTTTGATGCTGTGGGTAGCAAGTATGACAAACACACACTGGATGTTGTGCCTGACTCATAAAGAACTGAGTAACTGCAGTTGTGCATTCCCACTTTGCACTATGTTGAAGTATATAAACACAAAATGGAGTGAGTTAAAGAGAGACAACATACTGTATGAACAGTCTCAAAGAAGCCAAGGTATTTTTTTCTTGGACCTCAGCACAAATGAATACTTGTTTCAATCCACACAAATAACTCTGCAGCTCCCAATTACCAACTTGCCATTATATTAGTGACAGAAAAGCTGAAACCCAGCAAGTAAGCCCTATGATCACCTTCATTTCAAAGATGCAGATTGCCACCTGCCCACTCTCAGCAACTTCAGCAGATTTGGACTGGAACCTAAGGTCCCATTTCAACCAGGTAATTAAAATAAGCACCTAAATAAAGGCCTTCTATACAGATCCCACTAAAATCAAACAAATCATATATTTATTATGGATTGTGTTTATGTACCACATTAAAATCAACAGCAGTCAATTTTTTTATGCCTATGATTTTTATGCCTTTTTTTCCCCTTAAGGACTATAGCAGAAGAACAATGGGAGAAATGAACATTTCTCTTTGGGAAAGCCCCATTCCTTGGTGTGGAATGAAGAGGTGGACTGTATTAAACAACATTACTAACCTGTGGCTGCTGGCAAGTCTTTGGCAGTAGCGACTTCTTTGTTTTTTGCACTTTCTGTTTTTATTTTACCACTTTGCTTCCACCGATTCTCTACTTGATCCACCAAAAACTTAAATTGACTTCTGTGTTTCTTTCCTGAAATGGACGAGTGAATTACTAATCATTGCCACAGCACTCTTAAGGTACGCCATAAAAAGTGAAAAGGATGTGAACAGAAATAAACGCAAAACACTGAATTAAAAATGTTTTTGTAACAGCAAATGAAAGCCAACTCATCACTACAATATGTTCCATAGTCTATTAATGATCAAAATCCGTGTCTGTGCTTTTACAAAGTTACCCAGTAGTCACGAACACTTACACAGATGAAAGCTTAATTTTTGCTCAGAAGAACCCTGTTTGCTTGGTAGTCCTGTGAGGAGCCCTCTGCTAGAGAGAAAGATCAAAATCTAACTCACAACTGCTCTGCGAATGGCTTTAAAGTTGCTCTGGGCTTTTCCCCCCATCTCTGCAGTAAAACAATGTCAAAAGCTTTTGTGTCATGCTTATTAAACTGTTTTGATTCAGGTCCTCTAAATCACAGTTAACACTGCAAATACCCTGCACTTTTCAACCACTTCGTATGTTTTAAGCAATCCTCTGGTATTCAGCCAAAGCAATGTTGTTTTTTAATCTAGATACTTCAAATTCTTTACTTAGGCTGGGAAAACACCCGGTCTCCTTAGTCAGACAATGTGGATTACCTAACCCTGGGCATCAAGGGAGCATGTTGTTTTCCCTACAGAATGCCGCAACTTCTATGGAAGAAGCATATTAGACTGTTGCCCCACTGCTAGTACACCATGGAAGCCCACCAGTCCATACGCATGGCTTTATACTGATATGTTATGGTGAAGGCAGCAAATGTGAATTTCCTTTCTTTGGAAGGATTTTCAACAAAAGCCACTCAGACAGATTTGTCCTTTTGAGACAAATAAAGTATTTCAGCTAAAACCTTTAGCTCAATTTTTTACCTACCAAAAAAGTGTTCATAACATTTTCCATGAAAGAGGCAGGAAGGCCCAATGGACATCCAAAATGTCCTTGGGGCAAAGCAACTGTAACAGCATGAGAAGTAAAGCACACATGGCCCTTGCGGGCTCCACCCTGCCTCTCATAACAGTACCCAGTAAACTAGCTCACAGAGACATCAGAGCTCCCAGCCAGAGCATTTTCCAATCCATCCTTGCAGGAAGCAGGACTCAACGCAGTGGCCAACATGCCTCCCTCCTCTTCCATCAGCAAGGAAAGCTTCCTGACAATTGCAACACAGTGATGGACTAAACAAACAGCTCCCAGGATGAGTACACCTCATACTGTACAGCCCACTGTGCACACACAGCCTGTTTTCTTTCTTTGCATATACATAACTGAAAGTCTCTGCTCTGTAGAAGCCACATGTATGCCACCCAAATTATACTTGCAGGAAAGACTAAGGTAAACCAAAGCAGAGAGGATGGGCAGAAAAGTGAATGGGAATGAGACTAAGGTAAACCACAGCAGAGAGGATGGGCAGAAAAGTGAATGGGAATGCTCAGGACAAATGAGAGCCAAGGGCTAGTGACGGGCAAACTGGGCCATCCTCCCCCTGTCCTGCGACACTGCAGCCCACTGTACTGCAGGTGCACACACCAGCTTCCTCCCCATCCCACAAGTGCCAAGAGCAAAAATCAGCAAAGCAAATCAATATCCCACTTGGCATGGCCAACATTAGAAGGAGTGGACACCCCTCACAGAGCACTGCATGGAGTATGGCACATCTAACCCTGATCTATGTCCTGCTGCACTGATGGGAGGGGAGGAAGGCCAAGACAAAAATCATATCAAGTTCTGCCCCACAGAAGGAAACAGATCTAAAACTGACTCCCTCGCCCTGAGTAGCTGAAAATGTCACATAAGGTCAACAAGTTCTTTAATAAAAGGACAGTTCTTGTCCCAGATGCTCATGCCTGAACTGTTGCACATTCATTACCGAATTCCTTTGGCACTTCAGTTTTTCCCGTATCACTTTTTGTTGTTGTTTTGTGTTCTGGTGTAAGTACAAAGCTTTTCAAGTAAAAATGAAATGCCCTGGCAAAACAAGGCATTATTCAGATGCACTGTAAATCACTGCTGTGCTGACATGACATACTATGCACATTTCATAAAACTATTGGCATTTCAATAATAAAACAACCAGAGATATAATTACAAATATTTAAAATGCAAGCTGTAAGTCAATAAGCCTCTGAATCACATGGAAAAATGAAAAATTTATTAGCAGAAAAAGCAACTTCTTTATCAAATGTACTTCTTTTCCTGTAGATTTTTTTAACTCTTTAGACAGAGGTCTGACCATGAAAATAGCAGAATGAGGCTGACAGCAAACAGGGTGGCACTGAGCTCCCACGGAGCAGAAGGAAGCTATTGCAGGGGCCAGCTAACTTAATTGTACCTTCTAGGCACAGACTCTGGCAATCATTCCAGCAGAGCTTCCCGTGAGCATGTAAACCAGCCCCAGGTTCATCAAGCCAAAAGATTAATTGGTATTTCAGGAACACTTCAATACCAAAATGGAAAATAAAACCTCCAAAATCAAACAAACAACAACCACCTCAACAGTGTAATCTGCAATTTTCCAAGAGCCTGGAAAACTGTAAAGATTTGGAAAACTGTAAAGAAGGCAAAAATAAGTAAGTTTTCCCATCACAGCTTCTATTCTCGAATTTCAACAAGGCTGCTACATACCTTCCAGTGTGTGGTGTGTTTCAGATGGAAATAGAGAACAAAACGTGTATGGTTGTGTTTATATTTTTAATTCAGAACTTACGCCAGTGTTAATTCATTCATGAATTTAGCCATGAACTGGGGACCTAGGGTGCAACTGTACTAAATTAAAAGGAAAAAACCCTACATTGTTTAATAAAGCTTTTTAAAGTGCATCTGTGCTATACTGAAAAAAATGGCATTTTATAACAGTTCTTTTAATCTCTTCCTGTCCCCTAATTTCAATATCCAGTTCTTTCTTCATGCTTATGATTTCTTCCCTGTTGCTTTTATTAGAAATAATTTGCTGACAGTAGTTAACACTGACCTTTGGTCATCACTTTTTATTAATTTTAAAACCATACGTTCCAACTAAACCATTTTTCTATCTTCTCTTTTTTCTCTTTCTTTTACTTTTAAGTGCTCGATTAAGCTGCCCGAGGCTAATTTATTCACATCAATATCTTGCTGCTTTTGAAGCCATATCCTTTTAATAATATAAACTGAATAAAATACTGGTTTTGAAAAATTAAGATGGCATTTAATACTTTCTTGTTTCCAAATGCGTATAATAGGTCAAGAAAACAAAAGCAACGCCCTGACTGATGGGCTCCTGTTTCCACACCCCACCCCAGGCATATAATGCAATTGTTTGCAAGGTTCCAACAAGAATGCAACCAGGGATCCAGCTTTAGGAGGAATTTGTGCACATCTAATACGTGAAAACAATGGAGTTAAGGGGGTCTCTTGTGTAGGATGTCTGGTGACAGTGCTGCCCTATAAAAAGTGTGCAGGCACTGTACTGAGCAGCACATCCCCATGGCCACTCCTTCACCCTCCTGCTCCCAAATGTTCCTCATCAATGGGAAGAAGGGGGTTGTGGAGTCTCCCACATTGGAGATATTCAAGGCCCGCCTGGACAAGTTCCTGTGTGATGTACTCTAGGTTACCCTGCTCTTGCAGGGGGGTTGGACCAGATGATCTCTTGAGGTCCCTTCCAATCCTTGGGATTCTGTGAAGCCTGCTCACAGCTGACTGTGATTTCAGGTACCTTCCTCCAACAGCTTTTGTTTCAGACTCACCTCCACATTTACAGTACGCTAAGGAGCAGAGCAGTAACAGATAGGTATGTGCTCAGCTGCAGAGCAACCTGCAGGCACCGAGCTTCAGATTTGGGCTTTACAGAACTATGAAAGCCTTGCATGGAAAAATAACTAACCTGGGATTAATACTTTTTAAATTATTTTACTTTTTGAGTTATTTAATTTTACTGCTAGAAATTTCTGCATGGCAAGAGAATAATTACTAACCAGTGACTTGGAATTAGAGGTGAATACTTAAGATTAAAAACCACAAAAAGCACCTGTACACTTAAAAAATATATATATTCTCAGCAACAGTAACAAAAAGCACAGGAAAAATTTTCTAAAGATTTAGGCCCTTATTTAGCCCTCACAGAAACACAACTAAAATCAACAAGGCTAAATCTAGCTGCATTACGGAATAATTTATATGCCTGAAGCAACACAAGGAAATACAGGAAATATGAGCATATTGCAGATTTAAATACCCTTAAGTACAATCAGAACAAGTTGTCCCTTCATTGCTTTGCTCCTCTGTGGCTGAAAGCAGAGAAGTTTAATATCTACTGAATACTGGTTTAACATTACATGGCTAACTACCATGTTTGAGGGTGCTAACAGAGTACAGGTGAAGCGAAATGAGTGGGAAACAACAGGAAAGAAATTGTGACTAATAAACCACCACTAGAGAGCTAAGTACAAAGTAATTCTATTTAAACCCTGATGTACAAACACACAAAGAAGGTTTGGGAAATCATCTGTAAAAATCAGTTTCCATTAGCCATTTCTGTACTAAATTACTACAACAGGATACAAGTCCTGCAATCTTTAACTCTCACAAGGATGTTTGCTTCTAAACTAACCATAAAGATGGTTAGATGGCTCCACGGAGAGAGAAAACACTGTTTTTGAGTTTAAGCACACAGTAAGGAGAAAGGCAGTTTAAAAATACTGCACTTTCCCTCAGTCAAGTTAAACTGAAATCAGTTCTCTGCTGGAAACTAAAAATGAAAAACAGCAGTAACAAAAACCCACACCACAAATCACAAAACACACCCCCAAAACCCACCAAAAAAACCCCAAGCAAAATCGTATCACTGAACTACAGCTCTTCATTATATTTTTCTTATTTTAAATTCTCTTTTCTCCTTTAAATATTCTCTTCTTTCCTTTACACATTTATTCCAGTTATATTTCCCAGAACAAATCTGTTACTCTGTCAGGGGAGAAGCAAATTTAATAGCCAACACCGGCCCTGGTCTCTTGCACAAACATAGAGGACAGTGTAAAAAATGAAACAAACAGCAACAACAAAACAAACAAACAAACAAAATCACCCAGTTAGCACTGAATCCCAGTCACTGGCACAGAATGGAGGGGAAGAGGTCAACCAAATGAGCAGAGTGTTATTCCTAAGAAATTGCTTCAAAATCACAGAGATGGATGGGAGGGGAAAGTAGAAAAGCAGACAGGGAGGAGGCAGAAACATTTGAGTGTTTGTGGAGAGGGGTATAAAGGAAGGGAGAGAATGTGAGGAGGAGTGTGAAACCCTGTATGATTTGTGAGTCACAATATACAAATACAATATGGAAAAACCATTTTTGCTCAGTTAAAACACACTTTTTTAGCAGTATGGATGAGTTGGGAACTTGGGATTACCAACAACCACCCACAATACAGGTGCATTTTAAATAAAACCAGTGTCCTCTCATTAAGAGTGTAGGGGAAGAGGGAATATCCCAAGTAATGGGAAAACCAACTATCTGTGTTACTGTGGTGAGTGCAGAGCCAAGACAACAAGCCAATGCCCCATCTTGCCAGCTCAGCACACTTCATGTCAGCAGAGATACCTCCCTCTGTAGTGGCCCAGCTACACCTGAGCCAGGCTGGTACTCCTGGAGGGCTCACAGCCTCAGCACTGCCTGCAGAGCAAATGCTGTAGAGTGCCCAGAACCCAAAAAAAGGGAGAAAAGTGTCAAACCTGAAGGTGAGAAAATTCCCAGGAGTGAATGCCATTGTTCACAGGGAATCAACATTAGGTAACAAGGGATTTTTTTGTTTAGTTTTGTTTGTTTGGGGCTTTTTTTGGTTGCTGGTTTGTTGGGTTTTGTGTCTGGTTTTGTTTTGGTTTTTTCACTTGTGATTTAATACACACAAATTTATATGCTGCAAGCCCAAGTTTTAACAAAGTATAGAACCAGCCAAGTGATAACCCAGTTCGCATGAACCTAAACTTGCTATTACTTACGATAGTCAGAGTGGATCTTATCTATTTCTTCCTCTGTTTTGTCCTTTGTGGAGGTCAAGCTCTATAGAAATCACACAGGTGTTTATTTACAGAAACAAAAAGATAATGCTGCATATTTTGAAACTAGAGTCTTAAAACTGGATGAAGGGTCAGCTGTTTTACCCCCCCAGCTCCCACCATCTCATCCGCAGACAGCAATCTATGTTTAAAGTACATACACATGCTGCCTTGATTTGCTTTCACAAAGTTAACAGGCCTGAGCCAAGCCATCCCACACAACACCCAGCATGTGTGGACCATAAAATCTTTCCTAATGCTATGCAACAAACATAATCCAAAAGTCACAAAAGTATCATATGTCATGGGAAAAGAACAGGCTCTATTGCCGACAAGGAAGCAAGGAATTTACTATCTAAATCCTAGAGAATTCTAGGAAGCAAAATATTCCCCACACTGCCATGGAGGGTCAAAATCCTCCAATATCACCAAGGGGAACATTTCTCAAGAACTTTTTTTGCCATCAAAAAATGTTCCTACTTAAATGGTTTGGGCACAGAAACATCAGCAGTATGCAAAGAACTGCCCAGGACAAATGAGTGGTATGAGAAAATCATGTTTATTATAATATGGTATATGTGAATTACAACATACAATCTGGGAATCAGGAAATTCCCATAATAAAGTGATGGGCAAATGTTCAGTACCCATTCTGCAATATCTCCTAATCATCCCCCTCTCTGAAAACAAAGATAATTAGCTTACACTTTCACCAGGTTTATTCAGTTCAAGCAGAAGCCGGATCTTCTCATTGTTTTCCAGCTCTTTAACAATTTCCGCAGCTGTTTGAAAATACAAGAAAAGGATCAGTAAAACAGGAGCTCTTAGATAAAAAGATGTAACAGCACTGACTGAAACTACCATGAATTTTAGCCATAAAGACACAAACCAGCACTAGCTCTCCAACTGTGAACTCAGAATCCGATCCCATGCAAATCCACTGAGCATGGGCTCATCAGACATTTGTTCGTGCAGAGAAACCACTTCCACCCATAGCAGCTGAGCTGGAGAGTCGGGACTGGGAGGCACAGTCAGGAGCCATGGCCTTGGCCGAGGTGCCTTGCAGCAGCCCTACTGTGCTTCCCAGTGCCTGGCACTGAGCCACCTCCTGAGCAACTGCTCCATTTCCTTTGCATTAAATTAATGGGAAAAGGTAGTCTTTTCAAATCACATCTGAATCTTACTCTAGTATGTCTTTTAGAAAAAACAGTTTTCATTTTGCAATGTATCTTTCAATGGAAGATAAAATAATGACATCTGCTGTTTATCTTACTTCTATCTCCATGAACTGCCTCTCAAGGCAACACAAAACTGTCTGCAGGCTTATGTCCAAGTTCAAAGATGAATTACAACCTACACTAATTATTGGACACATCAAAAGCATATAAACAGATACAACGGTGTATTAACATTTTAACTAAAACTGCAGCTATGCAGGAGCATGCATAGCTTATTTTGGCATTTCCTTTTACAAATCTGTTTCTACACTTAACCATTTTCACCACACTACTAGGTAGCAGTGGGTATTTATTAAAACAAACACTTTCACTAGACAGCAAAGTAGCCAGAGAGCAAAAGCTTATTTAGCTGTGGAGGTATAAAACCTGTTCAAAACTGGTTTAAAAATCCCCAGGAATTTGGCACCTATGCTTCCTCAGAAGCTCAGCTATTCATATTATATAGTGACCTCAAGTTCACTGCTACCACTGAAAATGCATGTCTGCATCTTAAGTGCAAGTTTAATAATTCACCCATTACAAGAGGGTGTTGAGCCAGAACTCAGTAGAATGTTTGCATTATTTACGTCACTACATTGTCACACATAGTGAAACTTCATTTAGCCGGCCTGAACACCACAAAGAAACTTGGCACTACTTCACCACTAGCATCAAGTGAAGGATTGCCTCCCAATACGTTCAAGGACTAACAGAGAGCAACCAGCTCTGCACAAAGCCAACCCTTGCACACCCTGAGCAGACATGAAGCTTCAGTTGTACCAGCATTCATTCCTCACGCTGACCTTGCTGCTGCTTAACAGCAGCAGTGCAGCCCCAGTTACATGGCTTTTCCTTTCCCCTCTCCTGGAGCTGCAGTGGCTCCTGACCAGCCCACTCCACCCTTCTTCAAAACTGCTCCACTCCTGTTCAGCCATCGGGCAGCAAAGCACCTCCATGACCTGCTGTACATTGACTCCTGCTGCTGGGGGAACTTGGACAGACTCTTTGAGAGCATTTAAGTACATTTCCAAGTTTAACATAAACCCTAGCATGACTGAGATTCTGATGCAAGTGCTGTTCTTGCAGACTTAAATCACAAACTCCCTAAACTTCTATTACTGCTGAAGGCAAACACAATGTTAACTCTGTGCTGGTTACCATCCCAGAGATTTTCTGAAGTCCTAGAAAATAATTTTTGAAAGCATGTTTATTTTTGGAAGCACTTTGGCACAAGCTAAGCAGTAACACTTGGCACCTAAATCACTGCGGCACTTAACCTCCTTAGTCAAGTTCTTAAAATGGTTAAAGAAGCAAAACAAAAAAAGCAAGTAGTGTTGGTTGCAAACTTGCTTTTCTCATACACTTGCTCCCACATTCCAAACCAAGAGCTGGCAAGTGAAATCAAGGTTTCAAAAAGCAGGAGCCTACAGTTTGGCTGCTGAATTCATATTTATAATCCTCAGTGACTGACTATTTTCCAAAAAGCACTGCATCTGGTAGTTCTGCCTGTTTAGTAAAGCAGTTAAACACCAAAAACCTACTTTACTTTCCAAATGCCACAGTAGAAGTTATGGCTATTCAGGATTTCCAACTGCCTGATCACATACAAAATCACTTATGCACGAAGTTAACAGATGAGCTTTTAATATTCACTTGAAATAAATGCTCCCCTATACTGTCATATTTGTTAAATAACTGATTAATTAATTGGAGTTTAATGTGTTTAAATCTGGCAGCCTTCTCCAAGGATGCTAGCCCCAGATTATTCCTGTTGCAGATAATGAAACAACAGATGTGAAGCTGAGCTGTGCACCTGCGGTGGTGTCTGTCTGCTGCTGAGCCCAGCTGTGCAGGAGCTCCTTGGCCCCCCGCTCACTGTGCTGCCCTGCTTGTTCATTTCAGCTACTGACAATCCCACTGCCGCAAAAATTTATCTGGTCCCCCTAGTTTCTGAGCCCCTCAACACACAGAGAAACATTCAGAACTGTTTAGAGCTTCTGGAAGAAGTGGTGAACTTGTGCTGCAGGATTTTAGCCTCCATAAACATGAAAATAAAAGAGATCAAACTGAGAGTGAGGAGCATATTTCTCGTCTCTCTGCTTCTGAAGTAGCCGAGACCAGCTCTTGCCAACAGGAGGACTGACTTACACTACAGACCTAGCAGGCAGCAACCAACATCCTGAAACCAGTGCAGAACATGCAATACCAGCTGTATGAGAATCTCCAGACATCAACGCCTGTGCAGCTCCCAGTAGAGAAATAACAGAACATGATCCTGCTAGAAATTCCTTTAAAAGGATTGTTTGCCAAAAGTTTCTAATCAAATAAAAAAATAATATAGCTAAATCTGGTGTCTGTCTCTCACCCACACGCGCCAGTGTATTTCTGGTGTCAGTTGTATCGCCTGGAGAACTGAACTGAGATGACAAATGCCAGACCTTTAAAACAGATGCATGTATTCATCTTGTACAAAACAATATAACAAGAGAAGCTGGGACAGTTCTCCCCCTAGCTCATACATGCTATTCCAAATCTAAAATATGGTCACATTGCCTACAAAGCCAGGCAGCACAAATACCTTACCCAGATCTCATCCTCCCTGTTCCAGCCCTGGCATTTTTCAAGCATTAAGCCTAAGCACAGGAAAATAATAGATGGCTGCTTAAAGGAAGTTTATATTGCACTCACATAAGAGACTAAAACACATTCTCCTTATCCCATATAGCTATTTATATACAGTCTGAGTTTAAGTGTATAAAAATACTGCCAAGCACCCAAACTGATATAAACTACAGCAAAACATTTAACACTTTCCTGTTAATTCTTTCTACCGTTACCCGTCATCTCCAAAAAGATACCTAATTTTGAAATTAAATCAACAAAAAAAAGAAAATATCATAATAATAATAAAATAAGAATAAAATGAATATATGAAAAATGAGAGTCTCAGTGTATATGAAGAAGAGAACAACTTCAGAACAAAAGATAAATTACTAATCCATTCACTCACTAAGAACTTCAGGTACTTCTCATTTTTTGACTAAAAGCCTCAAAGTCTAATTTGGAAGCACTCATTAAAGTCAATAAAAACATAGAAATTTTTTCAGAACAGGGTTAATAAACCAGGAAGTATCAAAAGAACTTCAATACAAATGTACATCCTTGCTGGATACTTCCAGAGTACAGGCACACATTTCTGGTTTTCATTACATTTCCTTTTATTGCATAAACCAAGATTAATACAAGATAAATTCTTCCAGTTTCAGTTTTCCCCAGATACAGAAACCAGCCTTATTCCTGCCCTGAGAACAGAAGAAGCAATGCATACAAATAGCTAGTAGTGGTAACAACTTTCCTAGACTTTCTAACTGACCTGATTTGGGATTTAGAGAATCACACTGAGCATTGTACATGTGCACAAATTCTTGGTGTCTTTTAATCAGCTGTTGTCTGGTCCCACGGGTAGACAGACCATGTTGCTTTAGCTTCTTCTTTAAATCACGATCAGAGAGCAAGCTGTAAACAACTTTAGGCAGAGGCTTCCTTTTGTGAGCAGAACTGCAAAAGGACAAGGAAACAAACTATGAAAATAAAAATACTGATTTACGTGTTTACAGGCAAGAAATACCTGAAAGAATCACTTCAGTCATGACAGACACAGCACATCACAGATGAAATGGCAACAGCTCTAGAAACCAGAACACCTTTTCCATCTACCACAAAGAACATTTCAAACGTGCAGAAAGCAATAGGTCTCATCTGATTTTCTGTAGGAAATGATGCAGAACTACTCAGGTAACTAGCCCCGAGGCTCAGTTTTTAATATCTACAGCAAAGGCAACATCAGCAAACACAGCACTGTCCACCTTCATTAGGATCAGGCCTTACATTTTCCCTGAGTTCGAGAGGAGTTGTACTGAATTCAGATTGCTAAAACACAAGTTTTCCACCCAAATACTGGTCATGTCTTAGCTGAATCAGCTGGTGAAGTTTTAAAGCATTAAAACTGCAAGCCAATACTTGAATTAGGAGATTTTTCAGCTTTCTGGGAAAATTACTTCGAGAAAGACAGTCATGTACCTGAACACAAGTCTATAGTTCCCATTTAACAGAAGGGTAATCTGGTAATGCAGAAAGTGACATTAAAAAGAACTAATAGTGCTCTCAGATGAATAACATCTAAAACCAAAATTTACTCCTTCATACTGCCTTATGTCAGAACTCAACGTTCTTGGCACAGCTAGGGAAAACATCTCAATTACAGGAAACCGCCACAGAAAATTCAAGTCCTACTACAACTTTTGTCATCTAATACTAGCAGAAGTTTCCTTGTGCACAAATTAGCTCAGTCTTCCCTACACCTCCTGGAGAAATACATTTAAACTAGGTACAAAGGTGCCCAAATCCATCTACTGCCTCACTCATCTTCAACTTACATAATTTGTTATAGAAGAACAGCATTTAGACATGTACATATTACAGTTCACCAGCGGAATGACCCAGAAGAGTGACAACACCTTTGCTAGCAGAGAGCTTCATGAGAACAGTTCACAACAGTTTTGAAGCTTAATGTTGGTGGGGTTTTCCCCAATTCTTAAGAAACACAGTGCGGCCTTTGTGAACATGCACTTACCTGTTGTAATTATTCCTGTGCAGTTTTTGGGGACTAAATAATCAGTTTCACTGAAAGGCTGCTCAACTGTTAAAATAGCATGCCATGTGCTCCTAATTTCAGAATAAACAGAGCTAAAATTCCTCAGAGAAGAGCTAGAGATGTTCGGGTTTCGGTAACAGCACAACACAGCCATAAAACAAATACATTGCCAAAAGCTAGCATTTAACACACAACAGCAGGTCCCTAAGGAGAAGCATCTTGCATAACACGTTCTTAATATCCAAGCAGAGTAGATAAAATAAGCAAAATTTAAATTTCTGTTAGGGACATGGCCTTGACACCAAAGAAAGATCTGGCTTTTATTTCCATTTGTGAGGAATACAGAAAAGCCCCACTAAAAACATCCCAATGAAAATTAGGATGTAACATCAGATTTCAGTATTAATTTACCATTTATTCACCTTTAAAGATCTTAAGCCTATAGACAGCATTCTAAGCACTGGGCAAAACAAGAGCTTTAACATAAAACTACTTCCTAAGTCTAGGAAGGTTCAGAGGAACTGGAAATACAAGTATGCATTAAAAGTCTCTCAGAGTCCTTAAGTCTGATCAGTTACAAATATTAACAGCCTAAATTTATGCTCATAAGTAAAACAAACTGAACTTCTGATGTGACTGTGGTAGCCATGAGAAATTCTAGGGCGAAGGCATAAAGCTAAAGGCATGCATTAATCTTGTGGACATCGAGATCTTAAAGAAACAACCTTGCCTGGGGCAGCTTGAAAAGAACTACAGTAAGCAGAGTAAGGTGCAATTTTTATTTTAACTTGACAGCCAGTGAAGCAATTCTCTTCTGGAATATCTGAATTGAGGGAAGCAATCCATTCACCAAGTGAAAAATGGGAATAACTCATTGAATGGAATTTTAATGTCAGTGACAGAAACCTGACAAGAATAAGGTACAGGCTAAGTTTTCTCCATGTTGAATACTTTAAAACACTGTCTGGTGTTTTCCTGCCACTAAAAGCCAAAATGTAATTCTGCTGGCAATCCACATACTTTCTTGAGAGGGAAAAAATCACCATGATCATATTTATACAATGATTTCAGAATGATCTATACAGCAGGTAATGAAGAAACACAATACTATAATCCATCAACTAGTATTCCTTATTTCAAGCAACACAGGAAAATGTCTGCATGCACATACAAGTTCTTAAAGTTGCTTCTTACCTTCTGAGGCAGTCCTTCTTCTCTTCTCTTGTCAAGCAGGTATCCAGATGTTTGTTTATGTATTCCTCTGGAATAGCAACCTCACAGACAGGACAAGCCACTGAAAGCAAGGGGGAAGGAATTTACTGTTGTGTATATTACAGCAAAGAGCAAATGTTTTCATCTTAAAAAGCTTATTGTTGATAGAAGAAAATGAAAATTCCAGATTTCTTTTTCTTAAAGATAAGGCATGTCTATTCAGAATCTTCATTTTTAGCTCTCATTTTTATTCTAGAACACTTACTTCCCTCTCTGTGTAATTATCAGAATGACTCTCATCTTCCCTGCAGTCAGACAGAATGAAATCACTAATAAAAATCTAGAATAACATACATACTACATGTAAACCTAGAGGCTTATACAGACATCAGCATATTTCCATACTAATGGTTTTCATTTTTGCAGTATTTCACTCCTAAATAAAGGAAGCTGCTTCATTTTGATAAAAGACTATAGCACAAACTTTATTCACATTAACGTAATGTTCCCAATCTATGGCTCTCAAGAGGACTGTCAAGACACAAGTTAACTCAGCCTCACAGGAATCCTACCATCCAAGCATGTCTCATACTCATTTCTTAGAACAGATAACTAGATTCTGTGACAGGCTCAGAAGCTCACGTGCCCTATGGCATAGTCCCACTCAACTCTGCATTCCTCTTGCATCTTATTTTCTAGATGCAGCTATAAACATTACCCGTAAAACCAGTCAAAAACCAAAGACTTAAAATATTCATCTTTAGTAATCACATCATGTCAAAACCGAAAGGCTGACTTTAAATGAACAGCATGAGAAAGACATTCTTTAACTGCCAGCCTCTGTATCAGTATGAAGGAAGTCAGTTTTGATTTAAAAGACAAAGCAAAACACAAGCTATGAAAAAAATGAAACCTTGTGGGAATTGAGCAGTTATCTGGTAACACTGCTTCACAATTCCTGGCTCCCATGATATCATACTCTAGCCAAAGGTTAAAAAAAAACCCAGAAAGAAAGAAGTGGGGACGGTAACATAACACAACAGTTCTGAGCCATCTATTATCGTATTTGATGTAACATTTGAATTCTTAACACGGAGAAAAAAAAACAACTTACTAAAACCACTTCAGCACCGCCTCAATTTCAAGTCTTTCATTGATATTATTTGACCAACTACTTTGCATTTGTGGAAATAATTTCAATGTAATGCATGCTTGAAGATTTAATAAGGCCATAAAATGGTAAGCAAGTGAAAATTTCAATTGCTCAGGAACAAATGAGCAGTAAAATTTCATATGAGTTTTAAATTACCAACGCAAGTCTGATGCATAAAACTTGGAAACATAACTTCTGAGTAATTTGATGCCATTTTCACATGGCTACTTCTCTGGCTGTAATACATCTTTAAGCACTATTTACCCAGCTAATGAATAAATATGAACTTCAGAGTTCCAGCTGAATAAATTGTTAAACAAAAGAATAGATAAATATGAGCTAGCAAGTATCAGTGTTGTACTCCTACACGGCCTTTTATTTTAGTGTAGGCTTTTGTGTCAATGGGGCGGCTGCCATCATGTCAAAACTAAGAGGATTCTGTCATTTCATTGTAGTTTATTAGTACAAATAGGCATTTTCATACTTTAAAATAAATTCATTTTAACACTGTAGAATTATAGAAGAATAAAGCAGAGTATTTTCTTCTGGAAAATGCTTGAACAGGAATATTAACAAAACTGAAGCCATGATCATTTTGATTTTGAGTGCACTTCTCAAACACACTATAACATACCTTGCTTCTGGTTACTTAAGAATACAAGAGTAGAATAAATGTCTGTCTGGTCATTAAGGGGAAGGAGAAAAGAAAATTACTTCAGTTTTACTAAATCCATTGTGCAACTATTGCTTTTTTAGAGTTGTTACTCAAAGCAAAGGAATCTGTAAGCACTCAAATCCATTTAATTTCTTGGCATCAGCCCAAACTTCCTCTTCAAGATATGCTTGTAGCAGAGCTGCGCCGCATAAGCAGTAATCTGAATGAAGCAGTTATATGGGAAGCATCTGAACATGCCAATGCAAGGGAAAACAATGCAGAGAAAGGAAATTAATGCCAAGTACTGAAGGTCCTCTAAAGCATGCAGCCAACCACAGCCATGGACTTGGAGGAGAGAACTGGGCAAAACCAAAAATTAAGCATCTCACCTTTGCTGACTGCTTTTACCAGAGATGTAGAAGGCTTTTCCTGACTTTTGGTGCACTTGGGGCTCTCCTGTGATCCCACTTTATTGTCTTTATTATCAATCTCTGCAGAACTGCTGTAAAGGTCATGGTGTTCCTCAGTTTTCAAACTCTTCTCATCTGTTCCTGCCAGGCTGTCTGCCTTTGTTGAGGTGCAAACTTTTTCCTTTGTCAAGAAACTGCCAATCACTGGCATATCTTCTTTTACTGCTGTCCAAGATACAGAACTCTTAACGTGGCTTTTGCCAGCTGATCGCCTGCTACCGGCCAATGGAGATTGAGTCAGTGGAGTATTCAACTGGAACAGTTGTTGTCTAGAAGCATCCAGAAGACAATACACAGTTAGCCACATTGGACAGTATTAGCTTTTTCTTTGAGAAGAAACCAGAACAAAAACAGATGGAGCTTTTCCTCCATTCCTTCCTCCCTCTCTCCCTCACACGCACACAGCACTGGGGAATTGCTAGCCCACACAAACCAGGAGCACGCCAGCTGAGCCTCACCATGCTCTACAGAGCCTAAAAATCAGCTTCCTGATTTTCAAATAAAATATATTGCACTTTGCAACTACAACAAAACACCTCTCAAAACACTACATGGAACACAGCATCCACCATTTCTTTGGGCAACCTGTTCCAGAGCCTCACCACCCTCACAGTAAAGAACTTCTTCCTTATATTTTTTACTCCTACCCCTGCCACAGGTTTCTTTGCAGAATCCTATTTATTTTACCATGAATTTTATACAACTCGATCAAAGACAAATTAAGGCAGAACAGTATCCTTGGCAGGGATGCATTAAGGGCACACAATACAGATGATATTCACTTCTCCCAAGAGACCAGCCCTGTGCACTAGTAACTACAACTGCACAAGATGCTTGGGGATCTCAGACATGGATGCATAGCCCCTAAAGACCACAAACAAGTCTGTAACACCAAAGTGTTCTCCTCCTTCCCATCTGTAACACACTGACTTTTTCAAGCACTAGGATTTTTAGTACTGCCATTGCTCAGCAAGTGCATGCTCTTTATTTAAATGCCACAGCTTTACAGCTTTGACTGAGACACAATCCACCGCACCAGGGGTGACAAAAGCCTCTGAAAGTAGAACTTCTGTAGGTCCTCAACTTGAACAGAGTGCGGGTGATGTACCTACAGAAGAGGCACTGCCATAAAATTATCTCTTACAGCACTTTCATGACAACACAAGGCCCATAAGAAGTCTGAAATGCATCTGTGCACTCAGATTTCACAGTGGAACACATTTCAGTATCGGGCAAGTACTCAGAAAACTTCTCAGTCTTAAGGTAAAAACGTTTTCTAAGAAGAACAACTAATTAAGAACTGTCTGTACATACATCTTTTAAAGAGAAGTTCACATAGGTCATTGGGTAACCCCACAATACTGCCAGTTTAAGAGGGTGAACCACAACGAACGCCTGCAATAGTTATAGTCAAGCCAGATCCAGAAGGCTGATTTGGAGTTTAAGTTTCCTGGCTTACTGGATGCAGTGACCACATCTGTCAGTAGCAATTCACATCTGTCCCAGGACTCCCTGACTTTTCTGCAGTCCAAGCAAGTGCAATTAAGTGTGGCAGCAAAACTATGTATTTTCTGTCTGCTCATGCCTAGATATGGACTGGAAGGTTTTAAGGAGGTTAATCCCCCAGCTGACATGGACACAGAGTGGTCTAGCTACTGTTGACATAGGATCAGCTCCATGGGGACCTCAGGAGCTAGTTAATGGGAACATAAAGAGAGTGCCTTCACGCATCCCTGTCCCACTCCCACCTCACATTTGCTGTTTATAAGGGGTGTATTTCATCCAGAAGTAGCAGAAATGTCTGACAGCATATCATTGCTCAACACAGCTTTAGCAGCAATAACTGGCAGACAAAATATCTCGTTTTATTGCAGATAAATGCATGGTTTTCTTCAACTTAAGGGTAACAAACTATAGCCTCCAAAGACTTGTCATCACAGATGGTTATATTCTACGAACAGGTTCAAAATCAAACAAACTTTGTTGCCTTTTATTCCTAATGCACTCAGGCAAAGTTTAATCCTCAAAAGGAAGCAGCTGGGTAGTCTACCAAAGATAGACTTTTTTAACATTATTCCCCTCTTTTTATATAACCATAGGATGAACTCCTTGTATAAAGTATCTGTTTCTTCTGACTCCCCCACATTTTCATACAGGCAGCCTATCATTAAGTAGTTAATCAAAGTCAACACATTGCCTTATCATATTATTCTTTATGGCTGTTAAGCAACCATTTTTTGCACAAAAGCCCAGCACCCTATGCTAATGCTACAGGAAGCTAAACTCTGTATGGCTCAGATAACACAGAACAGGTCCATAAATGCAATCGTTGGCATCATATCAGTTTAGTTTTCCCATTAAAAACAAAGAACACAGCCCCAAAAGGCAAAAATAACTGAACTAGCCCATTGCCTATATTCACCGTCTTATCTAGAGAATACAACTGATCATCTTCATCTTTTCAGTGTATTTCCATTGTTTTTGAGAGCTCCTCCTCTTGTCAAAGTAACACACTCTATTTGTAACTACCAATTAAGTCAGTTTATTTTTCCACAACATGCATTCACTAGCCAAAATGTATTTCCCAGTGCGTTCCCACTAGCTGACAACACTCCTAAAATTCAAACTTCACATCAGTTTATCTTTTCACCAGACTTCAAACTGATTCTATGTATCTTCTTCTCGACATCTCTTTCTCAAGAAGTATCACAACAGTACAGCTTATAGTCCCTTGAATTCTCCAATGCAGAGACTTTAGTAGTCTGGTATGTCCCTCAGGAAGGCTACCAGCCCAGTACACATGCTTGGAGGTGAGTCTGGACCCAAGCGGACTGCAAACCCAAGCAAGGGGCAGCTGAGCAACTCCAAGGGCTGGAGGGAGGCCAGTAGAAGCAGGCAGCAGACACAGAGCAAAAGGCTGAGTGCAAAGCTTGGCATTTTTACAGTGTGTCCTATACAAAAGGATAGACTTCTGATCTCAGAAGAGGTGCTCCAGAGCTGACAGGATGGACTACCCAAAGGAGCACCATCTCACTTCAAATATAAGTTGTTAACATTCGCATGAAGCCAGCCAGAACAGAGAAATCTTCCGAACAGATTCTGTAGTAACAGTTGTCTCAATGATCTGGTATAAAACAGAGAAACTGGACACGCAATATAAAACCCCAAATTTATCCTAACAATAAATTGACAATAAAAGTTGCTTTAATTGCATCATTGGTCTGCAAATAATCATACAGAGTTTTTCTTCGTATTGAAGAACAAAGACTTAGGAATAGACTTCCTGAAAGGATCTGATCTTGGCACAGAATCAATGGAAAGAACACTAGGACAAGAATATGAAAACTTGTTTGCCAAAACACACATGAAATCTCTGTACGCCTTTTTTCTTTTTTGGTGGGAAAATGCATAAAATGCTAGTACTAAATTCAAAAAAGAAGAAAGTTCCAGACTGGCTTTTCCCAGAATGTGGTATTTTGGACCCACTTAAGAGCTTCACTGGCTGTGCAATGACATCTAGTGGTCTCCCCAGACTGGCACCCCACACCCAAGCACCCCATGGCCCAGGAATGGAAGAGCCAGAGGACTACAGGCACCCCTCATGCCGCCAAATGCTCTGACAATACCCTTATCAACTGCCACTCCACTCCATTGCCATCAGAGTGAGTTACTCAAACTGCTCATTATCCACAGAGATTCTGACAGTTGTCATTGGAGGAACTGGGACAAGTGTGACTAGACTGGGAGACATCCCTCATTCAGAGACAGATAGCAGTGAAGAAAAAGCATGCACTTGTTAAAGAATCCTAACCTCTACCCTCAGCAGGCTGTCCAGCTCACCTGGAAATTGATTCTACCAGTTAATCACAGGACAACACAATTTTCAAAGCTCTCTGTTTTGCACGCAGTTTTCAACACTACCTGTTATACTCAGGAATTTAACAGGCTACTGCTACTATCAGTTCTGAAAGGTTTTAACGGATACAGTTTTACCTTCCTGGCACAAAAGCAGTAAATGCATCGCAGGTGACAAACCTCCACTTAAGAGCAGGAGCAGCACCCTTTAAAGGCTGAAAGATGCATCAACTGGATGTTAGTAAGTCCTAACACAGTGTTACAACCACTACCCATATCCTCCTCTGAGACCCACACTCTTTAACCACCAGTTTGGGTTAGGACAGGGAGTTACACTTCTTTTAGTTCAACTAAAAATGGATGGTTATCTTACTATGCTGTATACAGCATCCTCTGTGCTAGGCATGCTTTAGTAACAGTACAGCCATCTTGAGAAACTTCATATCTGCAAGACCCATAAAAAAATCTGTGTCCTTCCACATCACAATTCAGGTTTCCATTTTACAGTCTGTTTACTTCTCCTTTGCCAAGCTGCTATGAAGCAGAGAAAGTAGGCAAGAATCTAATACTTCCACATAAATGAATTCCAGGGAAGAGATGAAGTTGTGAATCTTCCCAGGAACAGCTCACACAGGACAGTCCTAGCTGTACTGAAAGATAATGTCTTTCCTTGAAACTCCTCCTGCACTCCTGGAAGTTTAATTAGTATATAGAAATGACAGTACCTGCTCTCAAGTGTTCACAGTAGATGTGTTAAGAGTAGATGTGTTTATTCCTCTGACTCATAGTCAGTCAAGTAATCCTGATTAGGAAACCAAGATAACAAACATGAAGGTAAAACATATTTTTCTTCCCTATGTATGAAAAAAAAGTCCAAATCATTTTCAGCAAGGACTGCTTTTCTACTTATGCAAGTGTAACTCTTAACTGCTCTTGATAGATTTTCTAACTAGGTGATGCAGAAACTGACAGTTTTTAAACAAAATGATCTCTTCCTTAGAGGACAATTAATTTCAAAACAACCCCAAAACTTTACATTTATTATTTTTGAAGACACTGGCTTCATTGAAACTCTGCATAAAGGAAAGATGGCACAAATAGTACTCCCTGTCTTGTTCTCCTGACCTGGTCAGAGTGATGAATGACGCCTGCAAAGCGCAGCACAAGCAGCAGAGAGAACGCTGAGCAAAGGTTGCTCTCACCCTGACAGCATCCTGTGGTAATAATCGATCAAAGCGATGAACTCCCTTAACTCCTTCACTGCTCAGCATCTTTGCGTGTACCCAAACACAAGGGCAGGACAATGTGAATTCAAGCCTATTAAATCCTGTTCAGGACTGCTCCTCTACCCTTCCACACAGAATATAATATTAATGGGTCATAACGAACAACACATCTTCACTTTTACTGGGAAACATCAGAGTCCACCGCTTGTACAGGGAGGAAGCAGGACTCCAAGACAACACCAAGCAGAGATGATCACAAATTCTGCAAACACTTGTGCATGAGCTAAACATGGAGCTGAAGTATAAGCAGGATCAATACTCAGGTCTGTTTAGAATGATTTCCATTCCATGCACACGCTGATCTTAGAACACAGCTTTTACTTTGTTGAGTACTACCAACATTAACATTTTCTTTCCCTATAGGCCTGACTTAAGCGTGTTTGCATTTTGGGAAGTACTGAAAAGATTTACAGACTAATTTTTATAAATGCTAAAATACCTGAGGCTCAAAGTCAAGTCAGGATGGACTTGAAGAGCTTAGCATGTTTCAAAAAAGTCAATCTCTAGACTCTGGATTTGTTTTGGGAAAGGCCAAAAGGAAAGAAAGCAGATGGGGAAGGAGAGGAGGAGACCGAATATTTGAGCTCTACCACCATGACCAGGGCAGATACTAACAATGCTCTTATGATTTAATGATACTTATATCACATAACCCTCTCCAGGCAAGCAGCATTCCCCTCAAACTTAAGACCACTTGCAGAGTAAATCCAATCGTGAGCTGAGAGAGGCACAAACATAGGTTGCACAGCATCTGAAGCAACATGAGATTTACTCGCTATCTATAATCCCCTTATGAGTCTGTCTCATTAAAGCAGTTCTCTTAGTAAGCCATCTCTTGTTGGGCCTTTCTTACCGAGATCTAGAAAGAACATTGCACTGACTGTCATCTACCCCAGCTGGCACAGGACACTACGGTTTGTGTCTGACTGATCTAACTCTATGTTGAGAAATCGATTGAACTCCAAGTCACAAAAGAAAGGGTTATTAAACTACGCTGACTGGTAAGATTTATACTGATCCATTAAAGCAGTCGTTTAAGATTCAATATCATAATGCATCCAAGTCAGCACTACTTGTTCCCTACAAAATTAGACACTACCAAAAAAAAATATAAATAATAGTAATCCATTTATCACTAGGAAACACCAAAGATAGAGTTCAAGCTAAAATAATGGAACTATAGAATTTAAATTCATCAAATAAAATCAATTCAATCTAACAGTGATCATACAGAAGATTAGATCTTCATGACAGACACTCTCTCAAGAAACAAAGCCATAAACTGAACTACACTTCCTATCACATATGAAGGCAAGAATCGTATTGACTTCAAGCTCCAAGTTCATTTCAGTGAAAAACCTGAGAGTGTATTTCTCTCCTACAGATGTAGGAATACTTACAAAATACCCAGCAAATCACTGAGCTGCTTCTAATCAAGAGCAAACAAATATAACAGAAGAAATCCCATATATTTACTGTAGTGTTTACCAAGTCATTCTTATCTGTTTGAAAGGGATGAGGAGATCAAAGACTAATTAAAAACTCAGAGAAAGGTAGGTAAGAAATGCAGGTGAAAGCACAACACTCCATATTATTTCTCTTCTCCAGTAAAGCTCACTCAATACCTACAGTTTTCTGATCTAGTTGGGAATTCACCAAGAGGCTTCTCTTGCAACTTGACCATTATCACTGGACAAAATCTTTCTGTTCACAAGTCCCCCTACACACATAAGACGGACCTTTGTAGAATCCTGACACATCTGCTCAACTTCTTACGTGTGGGAGACTGCAACTTTACATAGCAGCTAACTGGAAGTAAAATCAAAATGAGCTCACACAACTCCCACACATCACCTGAGTGGACAGTAACCTCAAGTCAGAAAACTGTGGGATTTTTCCAAAAGGACAAACATTTGACATCAGTTCTATGACACCACAATTTTTTCACTCAATTCTCCCACTGCTCCTCGCTCTGCTCCTGTACAAGGACTCCGAGCCTGGCCACACAAAGCAAGTCACACCTATCCCGCTGCCAAACCAGAGGGAGAATACATAAAATTACAGATTACCTTGCAGAATTAAAGCTCTTTACTAGTTCATCCAATACCCGGTTATTTTTCAGGTCAGATTCTGAGACTGCCTGTTAAAAAGAGAAAGAAAAGGGGCAGAAAAATAACAAACAAGCCTTCAGATGCAGTGAAAATAACAAGTACCCAGAAAATGTTCAGGTGATCAATAGTCTGTTTCTCAGATCAATGCCTCAACTATCTCTGCTGAACTGCTGTGTGAATGAATATGCATAAAGAATAAACATTTTTCCTGAAAAATACCTAAAATAACTGCCTGAGAACTGCAAGTCTGGGAAATGATAGATAATAGATTCAAATGAAGCATAAAGCTAAAGAAAACAAAATCCAGTGCACCCAGTCTCCGACAGTTCTTTATCATGGCCCAGCCTAATAGTGTTGAATACCAAACCAAGGATCCCATGAATGTGATAAGCACCTTAATCAATGAGGCCTGAAAACAGATGAAGGGAAATGTTAATCTTCTGATTATTGAATGAAAATACGAATTATGAGATGGGTTTGGGCCTTCAATTAATCCATTTTATACAATTTCTGATTTTTATCTCTCTGCTCCCTTTGTTTCAAAGCTTTTATGAGTCTTTCTCATACCAATACCTGTGATTTTTAAGAAGGCAGCAGTAAAATGCCCTCTGCACTTGTTTGAATGTTTGGAAACTGGCAAAGCTACAAACAGATCTGCGTTCCAGTCTTGAAAAATCTAGCCTGGTTCATTCTTTAGAAACACAGAAGAAAATTACTTATATTTTGCCAATATTCCTGAAGCGCTATTCATTAGTTTTAGGTAGCCTACCATTTTTAGAAGTTCAATAAAGCCCAACTGGTTTAAGATGAAAAGTTAGATTAAGGCCTAGAATAAACTGCATTCTCTTTTCTTTAATCAAAACCGGGCCTCCAAGTCTGATTGCAATAATAACCAACCTGTAGAGGAGAATGAACCTGCCTCTACTGCTTTCCACATTTAACCCAACTCTCTTGGCAAACACCTCTCCCTGGTGGGTAACACAGCCCTCTCATCCCCAGAAAGGCTACACAGTACAGTCCGTGAGTTTTAGGACTAGGTTGGTCTGTGGGCACTTCCAAAAACTCCTGGAAAGATGAAGTAAGGCCATGGAAAATTTAACTGCTTAAATTTCAGCACTCATGTTTTAAACAGTGATGTATTTTAATACTAGGAAGCAATGTTAAATGTTTTGTGACAGACTGTGTACACAGCTCTGAGCCAAAACCAAGGTTTGATGCTCCATCTACTTCTGCCTATGCTGACGTAAGAGTAGCTGAAACAGGAGAATTCCAGTTGCAAGTGCACTTTGCCCAAAGGGCTGCTCACCAAAAGAAAAGCTAAGAATATACAACCAGAATTATTTAGCACAGTTCAAAGGAAAAAGCTCCTGAAATTCACCAAGAAATAAACAGAAAACAAGCAGAGGAAAAGACAACCAAACACTCACCACACAGCATGTTGGGCACTGAGGTTTGTAGGACAGAAACTTGCGTATACAAAGGGAACAATCTGGAAAAAGGAAATACGAAATTTATTAAGAGGCATTCTTCCAAATGTTCGGTTCAACATCCGTAGTAGTAGATTTTCTTTTCTGTACAACATATGCAAACTATACTGCAACACACCAATACTGAAAACACACCATTTTTCCATCAAATTAAGACTGCAGCAAACAAAAGCCAATCTGTATTTTATGCAAGGATCTTTCCACATTTAATCTCAGTCTCTCTGTCAATAGCAGATGTTTACTTTCATGTCTTTAACACTTAACTGTTTCCCTGGAACAGCAGTTGGATTATCATCACATGATGCTTCAATAGACTCTGGTGAATTATGCCATAATCTTCATTTTGTCACAGTAAATTCTTGCAATTAATCTACTTTCTCTACTTATCCGTAAGCTTTCATACCACTTCAAGATATAAAAAGTCTCATCACACTCTAGCAAAACAGACATTCATTTACTATATCATTACTGGACAGAGCCTTAGCACTAACACACTTAGCAACAGCTACCTAAGCAGATACAGTTCAAAACCCTTCTATGAAGGAGTGAGAGAAACAACAGGAGCATAAATGCACCAATTTGACACTTAAAACCACAAATCCATCTAACTACTCAAAAATTACATTACATATAAGATGTGATATGGAGGGAGAGATCCATTAAAAAAAGAGAAAGCTTTACTTGTATGAAGATGAATCAAATTACAAATTTGCCTGCCAGCATCTGACACCCAGTCACCTTGGGTAAGCAGTGGGACTGACCTCTGTTTGCAACCATCGCTGCTCATAGCCAAGGGCAGCTGAAGCACATTTGAGGATAATAAATCACATAAGCTCTTAGCCTTAATGTTGTGCTTAGGGCTGGCTCTAGGCCCATGCAAAGAAGACTACAGATTCACAATTCTCTGCTCCCTGTCCCTTTTCTCCTCCTCTTCCTAGGGGAGGAATGGCCCCACCATGGCACAGGATTTAGCCTGCCATTCCTTGGGTAACAATACAGGTCTCTGTCTACTGTAGGTGGCACATACACTGAAAATTAAATGGCGCCACAAAGTTCATTTTCATCTGCTCCAACAGACCAAACCCACCTCTAAGCCTGCATCTACCAAACTAGTCACAAGACTCAGCCACAGCACCATGTTTCAGTACATAAAGAGAATCCCAAAGTACCAATTTAAGCTGAGCATCACTGGGTCTCAATGACAGAATGGAATTATGCAAGCTGCTTCCAGGAAGTTACAATGTCTGTGGAGTTTAAACTGGAAGTAACAAGCTTGTGAGAAGAAAGGAATAAAACAAGCTCAGCACAAGAAAAGTCAGTAATGCCACAATTTATAAACCACGCACTGAATACCATAGGTGTTTTTTTTAAGTGAGCAAGCAGTTCTGAAACCTGCTTAGCTGGAAGCACAGTAGTAATTTCAATAGATTTAAAGAAAGGAAAATCATGGGTGACAAAAGGAGCTCACTCCAGCAGCTATAGCCACTTCTCTACAAGCAAGTCAAACACATCCAGGTTCCCCTGACAGCCTGCCAAGCTACACTGGCCCCAGGTCAGGGCTGCACTCGCTCAGAGCTGTGCTGGGATAAAGGCCCCAGCTTCAGCACATTCACTGGGGTTGGTGGCCTGCTCACAGCCCCAGCTCCATCCCTTGCTGCAGGGCAGTGCCCTGATGGCAGAGACAACAGAATGCAGAGCTCAACCACCGCCAGCCACCAGCCCCTGGCTGGTTCCAGCTGCCTGGGCTCTGCAGGGGAGGAACACACTTCCACATCCCCACGCCAGCAGTGATGCCCACAAGAAGCAGCCAGGCAGAAATAACCTCCTGCATCATCTCAGCATGAGCCGACCAAGCTTGTCCTCCCAGACTGAAAATACAAGAAATCTCAGGGTCACAATTCATTCTTCCCTGAGGAGATGTCCATATTAAAGAAGACATTTATCTTCAGGTGCTTTTTATGTGTGAAAGAAATATGAATGGCACACCTATTCTGCCACTAAAGATACAATCCAAAGCACTGTGAAAGTTAAACAACCACCATTAAGAGACCTACTGAACGATCCCTGCCACCTGAATGAGCAGAGGAGGAATTCCAAGTGGTTATAGGTACAAACAAATTATAGATGTGCCTGGTGATGAAACCATTAAGAGAAACACAAAAAGATTTTGTAAGCAAATGTATTTCATTTTTATCTATTGACAAATAATTACTCATTAATGGTAGAGGGCTTTTTGCTCCAACTGTACAATGTCAGTGGATAGAAGAGATTACACAGAGACAATAGAGTAGAAAATACTTCAAGAAATCTTGATTTATCATGGAAAATTTAGGCCTTTCTGCAATTTTCAGGGTGGAATTAAATGTGTCTTTTCAAAGTCAAGGCCTTCTGAACTCAGCTGTGTCATAGGCAGGCTCTAACACCAGCTACTGTGGAGAATTATCAGTGCTCCCCACCAGAGATATGCTGTTTTCAACGTGATAGTTTTGCCAAGCTAAACTAAATTTCATTGCCCAACTACAATGCCCTCCTTCATGTAAGGAAGAGGAAGTGCTATAGTTTCTGAACAAAACAATTATAACATTTATTTTAACATGAGAAAAGGCAATGAACTTCCCCCTAATCTGGCTTGCAGAAAACTGCTTTGCTACCACATTCCAGCAGTTATCAGCCTGAGGCAGACAGAGCAGCATGGAAAATTTTGGTCATAACACTTAATGCTGTCTGCCATACAGCTTCGCATTTTGTTCCACCCTCAAGATGTTATGAAAGATATTTAAATGAAGAATTGTAGGAATAAGTGGCATTTAAGAGCATTAATCCAGACGACAAGTGTGCTGTCAGAAGACTGAAACTGCACAAGGAAAGACTGCTGCCTGCTTTATAGCTTTCACTTAGTGGCAAATGTCCGTGCTGGCTAAGCCACAAGAAGAGCTACATGTTTTATAAAGGATGGGTAATCTGCTCTACACACCAGTAAACAATAAATGGTCAAATGATGACTTGTCTCTGAAATTCTAAAGGAGAAAACTCTTTTTGAGACATTTTTCAATAGTTTTCTGTCACTTGGCTAAGGTGCAAGAGGATTTTGCTGGCCCACAGGGTCCAGACGGTTGCTCTCCAGTCTTGGGTTTCATGGCAAAGATGTGTGAAGACAAAACCATTCCCTCAAAATTTCTTTGAATACACCTTCTTCAGCCCTACCTGACTGCCTTAATCTGTTAAGTGAATGGCAAGTTAGGCTCACCTGGAATCACAGGGCCAAGACACACTCCCTGGAACATAAGGCAATGTGCATTTATATGAAATACATTGATTCAAAACTCCATAAAGTCACAGGATAAAGGGAGGAATGACCCCACCACCCCTGGATTGACTTGCCACAATTACCTTGGCTCCTCCTCATGCAATTTTTACTAGAACTGCTGTTTCTGTGCAATGTTTTATAAAACTCAAGTAAATTTAAACTGCAACCATCAAGTCAATAGTGATGTATTAACTGTCATTCCATACATTAATCAAGGACAGGAGGCACAGATTTACAGTGGAAAAGAGGCAGCAGTTGTGTGATGACTTCTATGGACGTAGTACTCCTGAAGTCAGTACAGGAGGCAGTAGGATAGAGTGAGTCCTGCAAGAGCAAGAAACTTACAGCCCTTCCAGTGCAATAAGTAACGGTGTTCTTCACACTGTACTTACAGTTGTGTGAACACTGTGGGATGATCATGGCTATGCTCAAGTAATCGAAGCATATCCCACACCGCAGCAAGTTATCCACTGCCTGCAAAGGAAGAGCAGGTCACCGAAGGGCTCGCACCAGGCAGTGTTTCGCTGCCCGCCCTCACACCGAGGACAGCGCAAACCGCCCTCACCGGCCGTTAGGGCGGCTCACGGACAGGAGTGGCGGCAGGCAGCGCTGCGGCGGGGCCGCGCTCCGATCGGGCCCGCTGACGGCCCGACGGGGCCCGGAGGAGAGGAGCGGCCAGAGCCTTCACCCCGCCGCCGGGGAGAGACACGGAGGGCCCGGCCCGGCCTCCTCCGCCCCGCGTACCCGCCGTCTCGCTGACACCCCGGCCGCCATCTCTCCTACCCGTCCTCCCTCCCGCCGTGCCCGCAGCAAGCCCCGCCGCTCCTCACGCACCTTCAGCGAAGACAGGCTCGCCGGCCACAGCGGCTCGGGCACGGGAATTGGCAGGGCCATGGCGGCCGGCCCGGCCCCAACCTACCCCGGCCTCCCACTTTCCCCGACCCCGCCGGCCGCGAGTCCAAATCCCCCGCGCCGAGCCCGGCGATCCGTTAACGGCCGCGCTTCCGGCGCGCTGGGGCTGCCGGGAGCTGTAGTCCGGGAGCCGGGGCCGGGGCTGCTGAGGCCGGGACCACGCCAAGGGCACGGGCTGACCTCGCTGGGCCGCCGCGAAGCCCGCACCATCCTCTGCCCCCGGTAAACGGCACAGAGGGTAGGTGTCCGCCCGCAGCCCTGGAGCTCAGTACCAAAGGCTTGAGTAGCGTCTTAGAGCTTCCCGTGTCACAGCTAGAATACATCCCATTTGATAATGACTTGTGACTAAATACCCACTTAAAACTTTAAGAACCATAGAATCCCAGACTGGTTTGGGTTGGAAGGGACCTTAAAGGCATCCAGTTCCAACCCCCCTGCCATGGGCAGGGACACCTTCCACTAGAGCAGCTTGCTCCAAGCTCTCTCCAACCCGCCCTTGAACACTGCCAGGGATGGGACAGCCACAGATTCTCTGGGCACCCTGTGCCAGCGGTTCATAACTGAAGTAATTTTTCAGCTCCAAATGCATCATCTACTGGGCATTGTTAATACTTTCCCTTTTTAAATGCATGTGTGGAAGTTAGAACATCCCCAAAGGAGCTAAACTGGTGGCACTGATTTCTAGCCATTCATCCTGTTCCTTGAACTCCCAGGGACGGCTTGTGGATGCAACACAGTTCTCTGGCACAGTGATAAGTTGTTTACTCAGGTGACAAATGAGATGTGTCAGGGAGTGATCCCATGAGCTAGACAGGACTGTTTTCACCAATATTCTCCAGGAGATGTTAATTTAAAAACCATCCAAGGCACTGTGTCAATGAGGTGTGAACAGTCCCCTATCTCACTTCCCTTCTGCAATTAACCTACTCCACCACCTCACCATCAGTCCTGATGTCTTGCATATGCTTCTCCGTACAGGTGTATGTCAGCCCTTTGCTATGGGAACGACCTTCTCAGTAGATGTGTACAGGGCTGTGCTGGGTTGCCATGGAAATGAGAATCATTACTGTCACCTCTGCCCTGGGGCTGGCCAGGCTCTTTGAATTCAGCAGAGGGGATATCACAAAACCGATGTTAAAAATACATGGCCTTATGGATGAAAAACATAAAAATAGCAGATAACAATGACTGTGGCTGAGTACTGCCAATGGGCTTTCAGAAGGTTTAATAATTGCCTGAGAGTTGGGGAAACTTAGCACATTGCCAGAGTGTGTAGGATAAAATTGCAAAACAGGTTGCCTATCTCGGTGCAGTTCAAATGTCAGAAGCTGTTTACCAAGGCTGGCACCAAGACTGTGCCACCAGTGCTCACACTGTCCCCATCACACACGGTGTCTGCCAAGGGGGAACAACGGCAGTCCCTTTGCGGTGCTCTGCTGCAATACACTGATATATTCCACACTGTCATGAATATTCCTGTTGATTACATGTGTCGTAGCGGAGGTTTCTGCACACAAACACACACAATGCATATTTAACTGTTTTATATGTTTATCTGCAGAGCAGTAATGCGTCTCTTTGCTTCCTTCCTTCCTTCCTTCACGGGTTTGCTTTAAGCCTTTTTGCAGCTGCTGGTGTCCCAAACATCTGAAAACTGATTTTTCCTATGAGACTTTGTAGGAGGGTAATTTCCACGTCTTATTCCTGATTTGTGAGAGTCTCATTTTTGAATCAGGTAAAATAAAGTCAAGCTCCATGAACTGGCACTCAATAATTCTTATATATATATATATATACATAAAAGGTACTCCATGGCCTACACAATGGAGTAGGTCAGAAGAAATGTTCATAATGGTATCTGCTGGCCTTACACACTATAATGTCTCTGAATGGATCTGCTTACTGTCTGACACTTGCCAAAAGTGCTAGAATTTACAGTATAATTTCATTGCCATTTAAGTGACCGTTCCTTTCACCTTAAGCAATCCATTTCTTCTGCTTTCTCTGCGAGCTGTGAAAAAATCAATGTATCAATCTCTTAGTGTTCCTTTCCAATTTCCTGTTCTTTCCTCACACTCACCGCAGATCCCATTCCAGGTTTGCATGCTTTCTGACATGAGCTTATTTGTTGGCAATTAACTCATCCTTCCTAGGAATGGACACAAGGGTTTCATTACTACAGCAACGTTTACTTTTTGTTTTGGTAGACAGATGAACAGCAAAGGGCAACAAGTTTATAGCTGAGCACCATCCACACAGGCTGCTACTGAATAAACAGCAACTTAAAACTATTTCCAATATAAAAGCACCATATAAAAATAAAGCTGTAAAACCTGTGCTTTCACCTGAGTCCTGTATGACTCAGAAGTTAGAGAACATCCATCTTCTTGGGCAGCGTGGCCAAACTATCCCTGTAGCCTGTAGAGAGGGAGGAATGTCAGGGCTGTGGGTTGCGCTGTCTCACAGGCAGTATCCATCCTGCGGTGCCTCCAGGGACAGAAGTGGAGTGGCACGGATGGAGGTGGGTGTTGTTATCACCCGGGGTCTCACACCACAGTGGGGCAGTTGTTGCTTAGAAGCATCAAAGGACATCTCAGTTGGAGCTCTGGCTGGAGGAGCTGTGGATGCTCCCTCAGCCTTGGTGACTACAAGGACACGGTTATTTGGGAGCATTTTCCCCGCGGGATGCAGTCCTGTGGGCTGTCCTGCAGCAGCTTTCCCACTGCAGGGAGAGGCACCGGGAAGCCAAAGCCTCTCACACTCCTCCAGTCTGGACTGCCAGGAGGATTTGGTCAGGCAAAATGCTCCCGCCTACTCAGCTGGAGCCTGCTTGAGCATGACGGGTCCCAGGGAGCAGATTTAAACCCAAGGACTCCTGCAGGGTGCGGACAGTTATTTTCCTCGGTAGGAATACTTCCTGCTATCACATTGGCATTTTTGTATCAATACTAAACTAGTTTATTTTGCTGAACTACCACTACAACTTGTTATACACAGAACACCAAAACAGAGAACATATACACTTCCCCCAACCACCTCAAATATTCATTTAAATTAAAACACCAGTACCGACCAACCTGCATTTCTGTAAGCTACGTGCCCTGTTCTGTTAGGAAAAAGAAATGTATGAAAAGCTTAGTAGGAGGTAGAGCAGCCTAACGTGAAGCAAATCTCCCAAAGCTGCTTATTTGCATAAGTACTGTTGAGACAAAGAAAATGTCTAAGTGGAGTTTAACATACTTCCCAGCTGGTTACAAACAACTTAATAATGTGAAGAAGTGTTTGTTCAAAAAGGGTGCTTCAGCTCCAGTGCTGCTTACAGAGCTGTTGTTTCTCTCTGTGCCCTGACAAGTGGCGCATTTTCTGCTGCCCTTAGTAGATTGTTCTTAAAACTGATGCTCCACCAGGATTTGCCTCTCATACGTACGTGTCACTGGACATACTTTATGACAGAAATACAAATGCACAATGGAAACAAGCCTCTGGGACATGAGCATGTAAATTGGATGAAAATCTGCAGAACATACTGTACTTAAAAAAAATAAAAACAAAGCCCAAACGATGGAACATTTTGAATTGATTGCTTCTAAGTATTTTCAGAGATTCCTTAATATTTAAAGCAGTGGAAAGTTTCTTGTCATGTCATTCCCAACCAAAGAGAAGAGCCTGAATACCACAAGTAAGATTGTTCGAAAACATTTAACATTGACCTAACTCTGCCCTTCTGTTAAAGTTGCCAATGATTTATTGATTTCTACATGACTAAATTTAGTCTGATGTTGAGAATTTTAGAACAGAAAAATCTCACCATGGAGTACTAACTCTTGAGATGGGACTATACGAAGGCCATGTCAAAACAATCCTTTCAATAGCAATCTGAATTAAATATTCACCATGCCAACCAAAATAACAGCATTTCAGATCTGACATCCGCCAGTGCAGAAAACCTGAACAGCCCATCAGACTAACACAAGTTAACCAGGACAAGGTTTGGCCCAGAATGTAGCTAAAACCCAGCCCTTGTCCAAAGAAAGAGCTTTACTCATTCTTTCCTGGACTGAACTGACTACACAGCATCAATCAAAAATCTGGAGCAACACAGAGAAGACGTAGTGTGAAACAGTCTTTGGCTAAGGCTTGAGTGTGTGAGAAGGCTTAGCACCACAGTGTGAGCTTACTATTTAGTGTCAGAGGTTACTTACGTGATAGATAGCACATCAACTGGCATCATCTTTTTGTAATAAATAGTTTAAGCTAAAAATCAATATCATCTGAACATAGCAGTAATTTATATTTTGTCTTGTTTGTACTCCCAAAGTAGCAGTCAAGATTATGAGCTACAATTATATACATATTTTAATCAATACACACAACCTTTGTCGTTTCGCAAGTCACAAAGGTTCACACACAGGGGTTTCAAATAGAGCCACTGCTGAAGGTAGAGGGGTGTCTTTTCAATGTCCAGTAAGATGCTTCTACCTTAGTGTTATGCCTTGAGTCAAATGTAATCTAGCTGTGACATTTATTGTGATAGTAACTGATAGCACTAAACACTTTTTGAGGAATCTGTTGGCAGTCTGTTTCCCTCTAAATCAGACCTTCCAGGATGACAGAAGCAAAAGAAGTCACATCCATCAAATGCTCCTTGCAGCCTGTTGAACCAAGAAGCCTGCCCAGGTGGGGAGCAGCATCCCTCACTCTGGGCCAGGACAGGCTGAGGAGCCACAGTGGAGCTCCCAGGAGCAAGCTCAGGGTCAACCAAGCACGAGAGGAACTCACTGCTCAGCTTCTCATTTTTGATGGTACCTGCAGAGAATCTGTCCACACTACAGCATCAGAATCAGGAGTTTGCAGAGTAAGACCGGCTGAGAGCTGCAGTGGTATTTCAGACTCCGCCTTTCAAAGCACACTCCAGCGCTTCTTAAAAGGTCTGCTGTTAAGAGTTTTATATGGAAAGAAGTGCATAAAGCAAGGACCAAAAGTGTCTCCAGAGTGTACTCAATTTGGCTGCCTTAATCTTCTAATAATAGTCACTATTACCCAGATTGTCATTTGAGAATGCCTATTGACTATTAGGCAAAATTGCAGACAGACCTTTCAGGCATGAAGCTGAAGAGAAGAGTTTTAATGAGACATATAAATTATTTCACTGAAAAGTTCACTCTGGAAGCATGGCATTATTTTACAGAGTTAAATCTCTCTCTTTT